CCTCTCACGGCAATTCTCCAGCTCCTCTTCCGAAAGAGAGGCAATAAATCGAAAGCCCTGAATCCCAAAGAGAGCGGCATGATTGAAGGTATCGAGGGCCCAAAGTTTATTATGAAAGGCTAAACTCATGGATTCAACCCATCTGCTTGATGCTAACGGTAAGAAGGCATTGCGTGTGAATTTCGACGGGGATCTATAGGTATCTTTCTTCTTCAACGCCGCTTTCGCCATCTCCCTCTCCTGGGTCTCCCTCATCAGAAACTCCCTCTCCTCCTCCGTCAACTCTTCATCAATTTTCATGTCAACCCCATGATCCCCGAGCACCGGTTAAACTTCCCGAGCGTTCTTTTGATGATAGTCGCACTGTGCTCCCCATATCTTTATCATGACATACTCAAGATCTACAGAGGCTTCTTCGATCGTCTTATCCTCATGGAGGCAAGCAGTTCTGACTTCAAGGATCCTTGCTACCATCTCGTTGATCATATCAACAAATGAGTTTCGATCAGTCTTGAACGTCCAGATCAACTCCGCCCAATCACTAAACGTTAGGTAACTGATCAACGGAAAGGAACTAGGGGCATGGGTAGTCGATCTTGACCTTACGGCGGAAATGACATCTCTAGGTGCAATCGCTATCAGGGTTTGTACCGGTGCAGGAACTGGGGGAAATCGGGTCATCCATGACTTGTCACCAGCGACCAGCTCGCGATGCCACCCAACAAAATAAACGAAAGTCTCAGTTCAGAATATCACACCATTACCACCGAATACAACCACCAAAAACACAATTCCTCACAAACTCAACAGATTCGTATCACATATTTATCTGAGTATGGCAAGGGGTTTCAGCCCTTGTGGCGTCTAGGTAGGGTCAAGTAACCCAGCTAGATGTGTGTGTGATGTTTGTGTGATACTTTACCCCAGTCGTCAACTCCATACCAGACTGCATGTATACAAACCTATAGAATGAGGGGAGTATGGCATCCACGTGGCATGATTATCCGTGTGGGATCAGGATGAGGTTTCACTCAACGACTACCATATTTTTCAAACCGCTCTGTACGGTGATTACCCCAAACCGAAGGCAAGGTAAGCAGAGGATCACGCATAGATTGGAAAGACATCAGAATTATACCCACGCACATTTATTTACTAGAGAAAGACACGTACAGCGGAATCAATAGGCATGTTGGTGAAAGCGGCACGTGACATAAGAGAAAAAATCAAATCCACGAAGCGTCGAGAATAACGAACTTCCATCGGGTAACCATATGTTTCGTCTTCCGTCACAGAATCACTCTTCAGCCACCACGAAAGCGAAAAGCATAACTGCTACAAAGAGTCCCTAAACACCAAAGCATCACATTCACATGCTCGAGTACCCATACTCAGATCGTCCACAGACTGCTTCAAGGGTAGGAAACCAATATGACTCCATGAAAATTATCGTTCTCCTCTCGAAAACTCCYCGATTACCAAAGTGAAGAGCATACAACCCTCACAAAGCAACCCATGCGACTCGTTCTTATAACAGTTCGTAAACTTATGGCAACGTCGTCTTACTCAAGAACTCCTTCTCCCCCCACCGTCACTCTCTCGATTATCCCCTCATCCCACAAGAGATCAATAGATCCTGGTTTCCTCGACTCCATAGGCAGCTTGTTYAGCTCATACTCCCAAGTCTCCCATTCTCTACCATCAACACATACAACCCTCACAAAGYAACCCCTGCGACTCGTTCTTATACCAGTTCGTAAACTCAGGGCAACATCCTCCCTCTAAAGAACTCCTTCCCTCCCCACCGTCACACTCTCGATTGTCTCCTCATCCCACACGAGGTCAACKGATCATGGTTTCTTCRACTCCATAGGCAGCTCGTTCAGCTTATACTCCCGAGTCCCCCACTCTCTACCAAGAGGCTTCGCGCCGCTGTAACARCAATCTTCACGGGATTCGAACGAAAGCTCTCATTGCCGCTCCTTGTGAGAGAAACGTTCCTACGTCACCCCACACAAAAAAAGCCAGATCCCACACCAAACGCACCAGGGACAATAATACATCGCACCAATCTAGATGTGAGAGAAACATCGTATGAAACRAAACAATCAGGGATTATAACATAGGGGGTGTGTGAAAACTTGAAACCACCTCCACTAAGCTTYACACCATGATACCACATGATGGGTAGGGTGGTGAAGAACGGAGAGCGGGATGGAGTGGCTGGGGATTAGTGGCGACATCCCTAAAGCTAGCTTTTCGNACCATGATACCACATGATGGGTAGGGTGGTGAAGAACGGAGAGCGGGATGGAGTGGCTGGGGATTAGTGGCGACATCCCTAAAGCTAGCTTTTCGTTGTATGCCACTTTCGACAGCTCATCCGAGGGATGTGAGGAACCACTTTCTGTAACGCGCGATTTTCTGCGCGGTTGCAACGAGGGGTCCTAAGCTGGGAAGGTTGGGTCAATTACGGGAGATCAGGATCGGTGGAAAATTGCATCAGTGCCCTTGCTTTTTCGTCCTTTTCATCGCTTCCTTTTATATGGCTCGATTCGGAGCTGGGTGTGTCCGGGGACGGCCGGTTGATTGATTGGTCGACTGATTGCTGGCGCGCCACCGCTCGCACGATTAATAAATGTTGACGTCGTTTCTTCCATTTCGGTTTCGGTCTTTTGGGCGCGGACATCGCGCGGGAATTTGCTTCGTTCTTTTTTAAATTTTCTTTTGAGTCTTTTTCTTTAATTTTGTCGAGCCCCGATAGCTCTCGGAATTTCAGACTTTCCCCCTGAAGTTCGTGTTTTTTGCTTTTTCGCATTAGATAGGAATTAAGGATTTCAGTAATAAGGATTTTTCTACCGCGCGGCGCCTTTTGTCTACGGGCTTCTTCATGTAGCTGCAACGGTATTCGGACTAGTGGGCGCCCTTAATCGCGTGTGTAACTGTAATTTTGGGCGGGCGCCATCGTAACTGTATCTTTCTTCTTGCACTTCGTCTCTCCCGCCTTCCCTCTCTTTCTTTTGCTGTGATTTTTGTAGGCCGTGGCTTGCATGCTCGGATCGATGCGTGGAGAAGGGCTACGTCCCCCATGCCGCGGCCTGATCATGCAGACTGCAGGCACTCCCTCTCTAATCCCCGTTCTAAATCTTGGTAATTCCGTGTTCTTCGCGCATGCATGCACGCTATAAAATTCGGCTGTGCAATTAGTTAGCTCTCTTGAGTCTTAACCCGTTGTTGGAAGCTCAGGGTTGCGCGATCAGGAAGGGTCGACACACGAGCGAGAAAAGAGGTCAGTAGAGTAGGAGTTGGGCGACCCGACGAGCTGGTGCCGAACGCGCGGGATTGACGTGGGCCTTGACGGACTGAGGGCACGGGCGAATCTGACGGGTGCGGGAGGACTAAGCGGGGTGACGACTTCGTGGGTTGGTGCGTGACGACGGACTGTCTGCATCGGAGAAGAGAGAGAAGAGGAGGAGAGAGAGTTGAGGTCGATGGACG